CTTCACCACCAGCTATAATAATTGAACAAATGAAATCGGCTCAGTGTAGGTTACACCAACCGAGGTGGAGATACCTAAACACCGTTAGTGGCGTGATGACACCTGATTTGGCCAAAGGGACATAACGAAGGAACGACATTTCTTGCAAGTATTCATCTAAATTTTTGATTTATTATTGGCCCTTCTGTGTCCGCATAGTGGTGCGGTTTTTAAAACAGTTTGCGTGCCAAAAACATTATTATCTAACAGCAGTATGATTGGGGAGAACGTTCTGAATAGCACTTCTTTATTGCGGTTCAAAGATGACATATCCGGGGCATTTGAAAGCAGAAACTGCCAAGGAGCCATTAACAAGGATCTACCGGAATCGTTTGAGTATGGTTTTGACTGTCTTGCCCAAACTTGCAACTTTCTCAATGTTTGAAAAATAAGAGATGGCACCTGCAATGGAGACGGGAATGGACAAGTAAGCTAATTCAATGATTTAGTTCGTATTATGTATCATTGGAAATCACTCGCACCAGTTACCGGAAAGCAATATCTAATAACCAACTGTGAAAACCTTACCGCAGGAATGAGGAACAAGATCTAGGTGTATCCAATATATCGAGTAAGCAATGCGGAACTATGATTTTGGTGCTTCATGCCACATATCTCTTCCCAATCGCTTTCAGAACTTTCTTGACATCCAAAAATTGTAGGTGCTAGAGCGCCTGCAAGCAATCATGATCATGTCGTCACAATCAATGCAAAACATCCTGGAGGAGACGAAAACATTGATACATTGGTGGAAAAATTGAAGCTGGAGGCTGGAAATGTTGCAGTCCCTGAAGAAGTATGTTGAAAGTATGCCGGCGAATATTCTGAATACTGAAGTTTTGTGACTTTTAAAATAGAAAAGTAAACCAGATGATTTGCATGGTGTCGTCAAGATTCCTCAACAGATGTTGAAGACAGACCCAAACATTGGATTGACTAGTACCGAAGTTAAGGACAGGCTGGGCAAGTATGGAGAGAACATCCTTTCAGAGCACAAAGAGAATTTGGTATGTTCTGTTTGTTGGTGATTTGTATTGCTACCAACATTTTCAAACTCTTTAATTTGGTTTCATTAGGTTCTCAAGTTTCTAATGTACTTTTGGGGGCCTATCCAGGTCACCATGATTGGCGCTGGTCAGTGTCAGAACAGTGTTTCATTATAATGAAAACTAACTAGTATTATCGTCAATAGCTGTACTTGGGGCCGCTCTTCAAGATTGGGTAGATCTAGGAGTCATCTGTGCATTACTGTTGCTTAATGCTGTTGTTGGCTTTTTGCAAGAATATCAGGTACATTGCGCATAAAACGAAGCCAAAATTGTTCCACTCCTTTTAATAGGCATCAATCTAGGCCTCCAACATCGTAGCTCAACTCAAGTCTCAAATCGCAACCAAGGCATCTGTCAAACGTGAAGGTTGCATCTCCGAGATTGAATCAAAGACGATCGTCCCTGGAGACATAGTCCACATCGAAGAAGGAACCATCATCCCAGCCGATGGAAGGATCATTTTTGAACACGATTACATCCAAGTCGACCAATCATCACTTACTGGAGAATCTATTGCAGTTGAAAAAAAGCACGGAGATGAAGTCTTCTCTTCTTCACTGGTCAAACGTGGACAATGCTTGATCCTTATTACTGGAACTGGTGATAATACCTTTGTCGGGCGCAGCGCCAAGTTGTCAGCTACTACAAACACCCGTGGTCACTTTACCGAGGTTTTGAACAATCTGGGAGTGATGTTGTTGGTACTGGTAATCGTTAGCATATTCATCGCATTCGTCGGAGGTTTCTTTTATGGAAAGGATGTGCCTACCATTTTGACATATTCTTTGGTAATCATGATTATTGGAGTACCCGTTGGGCGTAAGTTTTATCATATCTGAAATCGTAGAGCCATCTTGCCTATTTACCTTTTTTTAACAAGTGCCCGCCGTCATCACAACAACTCTTGCGGTTGGAGCAGCCTATCTCTCTCGCAAGAAAGCAATAGTTCAAAAGTTGTCTGCTATCGAATCTTTAGCAGGCGTTACAGTTCTTTGCTCTGACAAGACAGGTACCCTGACTCAAAACAAACTGTCTCTTAACGAGCCATATACAGTCGAAGGAATCGATCGAGAAGAGTTACTTTTGTGCTGTGTTCTGGCCTCCTCGCGTAAATTGAAAAGTTTGGATCCTATTGATAAATGTGTACTTCTTGGTCTGCTGGATTACCCTGACGTCAAGGAGAGAACGAAAGACTATGAGGTTCTAGAGTTTAGGCCTTTTGACCCTGTAAGAAAGCGGGTCAGTGCTACTTTGAAGGGCAAGGATGGAAAGAAACTGACTGTCGTCAAGGGTACGTGCATTTGCCAGTCGATTTATTAATGATGACACGAAGTCAATGTTCTTTTTATGAATTAGGCGCTCCTCAAACTATTATGGAATTGGTACATCAAAAGAATCCTAAGCAATCACAAGCTAGCTTAAAAGCATACAGTAACGAGGTGGATGAGTTTGCTCGTCGTGGCTTTAGAAGTCTCGGCGCTGCGTGAGTGTTTTTTGGAAGTGTTGATTTGGTATGGAAGACTGATGTATAATGCCATTAATATCCATTGTAGATGGCAAAAGGAAGGGGAAGAATTGCAGCTTTTAGGAATTTTACCTCTATTCGATCCTCCCCGCTCCGACACTGCCACAACCATCCAGGAAGCTAAAGCTCTAGGACTATCAGTGAAGATGCTTGTGAGTGCAACAAGCAGATTCACATGCTTTTACGCTTTCAACACTTATCACTCTCTTTCTTTCAGACTGGAGATGCAGTTGGAATTGCCAAGGAAACATCACGGCAGCTCAACTTGGGCTCCAACATATATGATACCAAGCGCCTGGTGGGAGGTGAAGGTGGTAAACTGACAGGATCTGAGCTAGGAGACTTTGTAGTAGCAGCAGATGGATTTGCTCAAGTCTTCCCAGAGCACAAATATCAAGTCGTTGATATATTACAACGGCGGGGTTTGTTGGTGGCCATGACTGGTGATGGAGTCAATGATGCTCCCTCCTTGAAAAAAGCTGATTGTGGAATAGCTGTGGAAGGAGCTAGTGATGCGGCCAGAAGTGCTGCTGATATCGTCTTTATTGCTCCTGGTCTCAGCACCATCATCGATGCTGTAAAGACTTCAAGGCAGATTTTCCATCGGATGGTATGCAGCACGCCTTGTTTTCGCTGATGCTTGTTTAATACATAATGAAGCAATGTCTCCTTGGTGAATAGCTTGCATACGTGCAGTACAGAATTGCTTTATCATTGCATCTGGAAATTTTCTTGGTCACCACTATTCTAATTGTACAAGAATATCTCAATCCGGAGCTCATTGTTTTTCTTGCCATATTTGCTGATGTTGCTACGTTAGCTATTGGTAAGTACGACGTACGTTTCTTGCCAGAATTGAGGTTGGATTTCACATTTATCAATAGCGTACGATCAGGCACCGTTCTCGTTGGATCCAGTGGAATGGAATCTTCCAAAGATATGGACCATGGCATTCATCTTGGGCATCGAGCTTGCTGCTTTTACATGGCTCCTTTAGTACGCAGTAGTGTGCGATTGACTGAATATTATATGAATGTACGCTCATCTTACATTTTACCATCTCCCATAGTGGCATCCTACTCACGGGAGTTTCGGGATTCATCACTGGCAGCTCTATCAACTTTCAGGAACTTTTATTCTTGGAGATTGCTCTTACCGAAAATTGGTTAATATTCATCACTCGTACTGAAACAGTTTTCAAAAGTGTTCTTCCGTCTTGGCAACTAGCCGGCGCTGTGTTTGTGGTCGATGTAATTGCTACTGTTTTTGCTGCGCTTGGATGGTGGGGTAGTCCTCAGAATGCAAGCAGTATTGTGGGAGTATGGCTCTACAGTGCTGGAGGTAAGGTCATGTGAATTGCAAGGGCTATTGGGCAGTTGTTGTTGACGTGATTTTCAAATACTAGTTTTTGTCGTGCTTGCAACGACTCATGGACTCATCAATACCTCCACATGGCTCAACAAACTTGGCAAAAAGAAGGACGCTCCAGAATCCAGATCCCTGGAAGACTTTGTATTCCAATTACAAAAAGTATCGAGAATCCATGAGAAGCAGTCTAAAAAGTTGATTGGAAATGTCAAATCAACAGAAGACCAACCTTTGGCTGATGGAGCTCCCGTTATGAAACATCATGCCGATGATAACGACGACGAGAGCTCTGACGATAGTGAAACTGAAAAGGAGAGGATTGCCAAGGAACAACGTCGCCGCGAGAGTGTTGCAAGTCTCCGCAAAAGACAAAATACGACTACTTCAGAGGACACTCAATAGGTTAGGTCGTAAACGTGAGTTGACTCGAAGCCTGCCACCTTTCAATCCACAACTGATCACGTTTCTCACATGATTTTTAGACCAATGTACATGGCACTGCAAAGTAAAGATAGTATAGGCCACATAGCAGTATGCAAATAAAGTTAAATTTTCTTATTTATTAAGAGTATGTGCCCTTCCTGTTCGGCTACCCTGATGAATGTAATTCTGAAATTGTTATTGTTCACCGTGGCCATCGAACACGAGATTGAATCACAAATATCTTTTCTACTACTCATAAATGTTAGAAACACGGGCACATGCATTCGATTTTCAAGACGCATTTACTAAAATTCAACCTTTTGGCATATTCCAGTCGTAGGAAGGGAAGGGAGCGAGCCACATACATCATCAATGATCTAGGCATGTGATTGTATATGTGCACATTTATGGAGCAAGGTATTCTTCCCTGTCTCTCTTAACGGAGGGCTGTTTTTTCAGGTGCGTACTGTCATCAAAAGAGGTGGTGTGGGAGGAACTGTGCTGGAAGTCCCGACTTTGTTGTGCCCAGTGAATGCGAACGAGGCTGCTGAACCCTTTGCAATTCGTCAATTTCAACAGTGCCAATAAGTCGGGACCTCCAGCACAGTTCCTCCCACACCACCTCTTTTGCAAAGTGGGCCAGCAGCCTCGTTCGCATTCACTGGGTTTAACATACCAAATCTAACCCGGTATGGCAACCACGTGGTTATAGCAAATGAAGAGAACGAACTGAACTCAAAGCAAACAGTTCTTGGATGCAAACTGGGATGACTGGTCAACCTAGTCAGATCCCCCAATTCGACTAGTCTGTGGGACAACCCCAGATCCTGTTTTTGTTGGTGGCTTTTGTCGAACTGTGCTGAATGACAGATTAGACTAAAAGTTGCGGATGCACCAAAGCCATGATGCAAAGCCATTGCCATAATGCCAACCCCTCCCAATGGTTTCAAATCAAAAAGACGCCAGCAGTCATTGAGATCATTCTAAGTATCGCACGTGCACCTCGTCATTCTGCATCCAGCCATCCAATTTTCATGTCTCGTTTCATATTCCGATCATTTTCTACTCTCAATATAAAAAGACGCAAATCCGAAAGTGGAAAGTAAGCGCGGAACGGGTTTAAACATATTTATATGATGCCGACAATCCGTTTTTGATTACTACATGTTGTTTATTTGTCGTTTTGCCCCTGCCAAACTTTTCAACACGACCTCCCTCCAAGGAAACGCGTGCACTGACTCGGGTGTCAGCTCAAATATCCTCGCATACACCACCTGAAACGATCTACCATACAGAATTGCCTAGATCCCTCCCTCTGAGGAGCAAAGACGCCCTTTTCATGATCAGCCTTGAACATGGAGTTTTGCTGAACCCGACGTAAATCTACTAGGTTGTTGGCTCATAAATGGTGTTAAGACACTTCTTAGATTATGTATCAGGCCTAATCTAGTCTCTTGGACTCTCTATCCCGTCTTCAACAGTAGTGTCTTTGGAGAACTACACCTAAAACCACCACTCCAAAACGCCCTGCATCCATTTCTACTCAACGGATATCTCATCAAAGGCCTCCCTAATACAATTTTGCCCATAGAATCGAATGGATGTAAGCGCTTGAAAGGTCAGTGCATGCTTGTTCATCAGAAATTGCACAGAGCTAACACTATGACGCTAAACCCCCCTGCATCCATTTCTGGACAGCGGACATCTCATCAAGGTTGTACGGGCTTCACGATTGCTTACAAGCCAAAATGGATGCGGGCACCTTTGTTCCACCTAAATGCCTGTCAATCTCAAATATTCAAAAAGTCAAACACCAACCATTGTGCAAGATATCTTCTAGACTTTCAGCCAAATACCAAATATGGTCTACAAATGCACTGCAGAGTGTGTATCACGCCTTGTTTACCGGCACCTGGACTCTTTCAATCATCGTAAATCAACCGCCGCAACCCTCGAAAAACCATACCCACAGCAAGACTCTAGAACCGGGTGGAGCGGCTACTGATGCCGCTGACGGGAAATGTGAAAAACACACTCAACCATGTGAACGTCACGGCTACGACTTTATTCCCTTTGCATTTGATATGGTTATATGTAACTGGGTATCTATACTGATACAAATCAAATTTATATCAGGAGATGAAAAGCCGGCAATTGAAGCGACTGTTTTACCTTTCCGGTGTGCGCTCAAAATAGCGAGGAGAAAACTTAGATCAAGTACTTTTCAGTTTCAAGAAAAGGAATGGTTTGTCCATGCATGTAAGCTATAATTGATTTACATGATCGTCTTGTGTTTATGTGATAATTCTTTAATTGTTGTTGTTTGGTTTTTACTTAGTGCTACTTTAAATACTAATCCAATGAATTTTCATATACTGGGCAATAGTCAAGAATTCATGACGAGTACAAGCTCCATAAATCCTTGACCCATGTCATTCCACCACTGTACTCGCGACGTGCTTTTATTCTCCAAGCTTCCCAATCAATTGCGCATACACGTTGAACCATCACGTCAGTTGAATGTTGATCTTCTGTCAATGGATTATCGAGTTGAGTAGAGATGACAGCCTTCACCTGTCTAGAACGGCTTGCTAATGTACCGTCAGAAACGGCATTGCAGAGTACAAGCCAGCAGATTGCATTCGTGGCCTGTATGATCAAGAGGTGGTCAAGCCAACATTTGTTCTAGAACCGAAAAGGAATTCATTTGAAGTACACACCGTGAAGTAATCGTCGAATGTGCACCTTCTACAAGCATCGGAAATCTTTTCTCGCGACGCAGAATCAGTAACGAGCAAGTAGAAGCGATCAGCAGCAGCTTCTTTATTGCCAGTCTCAACCAGAAAACCTGAGAGCAGACGTTTCTTTGGTCAGCGAGTTGGTATGACGGGTATCACCTCAATTGTGGACCTCACCAGTTACACCGTCCCAGATCTGAATCGGAATGCCACCTGACGCATCTAAAATTATGGTAGTGTCTGGTTATTCTAGTACAGCAGGCTGATTTTGGAAGTGTGAGCTTACATGCTATAACAGGGATACCCTTTGACAAGGCTTCGGTAACTTTGATCTCAAATCCTACAAAGACAGATAGAGTCAGAATACGACTGAGCTAATCTGAAAGCTATATTCTCACTTACCTTCTCTCGTGGACATCTGACAAGCAAACATAGATCCAGACAGCAAAGCATTAAGCAGTTGGTCAGAACTAGGTACTCGAGCAACGAGGATATCATCTCGAATACTTGAGAATCGAGAAGACTCGAGCAATTCCAAGACTTGCTCAAAGATCTAAATTCGAGAGATCACGATGAGCAAAAAGAAAATAAAGCTGCTATGATGGAATGTTTTCATCTTACCACACCGCTATCAGGATCATCTACACTTCCATGACCGCTAATAACGAGCTGAGGAATCTTGGATGTAGACCAAGTTGGATGGTCTTGTTGAATGCGAGCACGGAACAAGGCGTAGATTTCGATAAGGTCGGGTATTCCTAAAGCAAAAGTTGGCGTAAACACCGACACCAAAACTAATGTTTCTACTACATAGTCCCACCTTTTGATGGATCGAATCTGCATATCTGAATAATGTATGGCCTGTTGCTAAAATCCGCTTGGCGTCCAATTTGTTCATGACAGACGCGATTCTACAAAACAACAATTGAGGTCAGAAACCAAAAAAAGTTTGATTCAAGCAGCCTTGTACCCACGAAAAAGTGTTGGTAGTATCCTAGATCTCTCAACTCCTTATTTAGCCCATCCAAAAAACCACACGTGCTTGCAGGCAAACCAAAAACACAGTCGACTCCAGAAGGTACAAAATCTGCAACAGGGTGGCTGATGAAACAATCTACGTTCAATTTGTGTTGTAACATAGAGTCTTTTTTCTCACTCAACCTTCACATGAAAGGAAAAGCCGATACATACCAGCTTCTTTGATTTGCTTCCACAAGAACTGCCATACATGATGCTGTGGAGTACCTTCAGTCTCAATCAAATCGGTTCGAACTATGTTTAAAATATTGTCAGTGCAACAAAAAAGGTTAAGCAAAGACGCACAAAACTCACGATGAATGTGGGAACGATAAACAACTTTGCACTTGGGATTTACACTTCGAATAATTGGAATGAGACCGCAAGCTAACCATTATGAAACATAATTTCATTAGCTGCAGAAAGTGAAAAAAGCAGCAATCTGAGACTGAAGGTTCACAGCTACTTTAGAGCTTACGTTGAGGATCGTCAACTACAAGTACATCCAAGTTCATGAATGGACCTCCAGTCCAGTACCTCTCAGCATTATCCTTCCACCATTCTTCAAGTATTACTTCATCTTCTTTTGTCAACCATACATCATTGGTTACGCCTTGCAAAACATTATGAATTTTCCGCTTTGTGATATCAAAGACTGTAGGAGACGGACGGGTGACAAACCAATGAGCATCGATACCCAAGAGTTTGAGGAGGCGTATCAGTGCGTGCTATTGAACATAAAAACGGAAAGTTTACAATCTATTTGTAGTGCTAAATTTCTGCAATCACAAAGTCTTAAAAATTCTCGAATTCTTACTCTCATAAGAGCAACACCTCCACCTTGAGCAGTCGAAGAAACAAACCCAATGCGTAGATTACGATTACGGGTTCTTTCAGCCATTTTGAGTAAGAATTGCCATGATCCATCAGACGAGAACTGACGTCTGAAATCAGACAAGTCAACCATATGAATCCAGCCATTTGCATCTACTTCGACCTGTTTGGAAAGGGCATTGTTGGCAAAAAAACACAGATAGAAGACGATTTCGACATGACATTGTTTCCACCTCATTGTGACTTCCAATACACAATCTCGGCACATTAACACCAGCAAGAGGTCCAAAGAAACTGATGCATTTGCGTGCTGCTGAACAAGCTCTCTCTTCGATTCCTGGTCCGTAAGTACAGCACAAGACTGGTAGGATGTCCAAATCGGACCATAATTTGGCTGGTAATCGAGACGTCAACACTTCTGGTGGACTTGCATCGAGTTGTGAAAGAAGAATAATTGGTTTAGGAAAGCCATAGAGCGGTTTGCCAGTTTGACGTGTATTGTGTGCCAAACTGCCCTTCTCGAGGGACACGACGGTCTGGTTTTGCACTCCAAACAACAAGTCCCTGTGGGGAAAAATCATGTGATTCAGAGATTTGTAGAAATGGAATTACGAGAAGCGCTCCGCAAAAGTCGACCAAGAGCTATTAACCTCCCATCTTATGAACGTTTTTGGTTACCTGTCAACAATGCCAACACCAGCGGCATGCACCTTATAACGATGCTTCTCAGACCACTCCAAAATCCATTGCACAATCTCATCTTCAATTTGCTCTAATATCTTGCTCATCCCATGAGCGTATGATTCATCTGATGCCAAACTGTATAGTTTATCAGAGACATCCCGAACATAATAATCAGTGCCTATTTCAAAGTTGACACATAAACATTCACATAATTCTCATGCGATTTTACTTGATATAGCGACTCACGAGAGAATCCATCGTAGAAGTAGACACACCAAGAAGGTTTTGATGACAATTCGATTTCGATACCAGCATAAACTGTCTGTAAGAGATGATCTGGAGGTGTCAAGAGCTTCTTCATAGCTAGAGATCGAGACATTCAGGCTTGCTCTCTCTGTGTAGTAGAGAATGGTGCAATGTGGAGTTTAGAGAAGGCGGTGAATCTTTGAGAACCTTAAATATGTGAGAACCTTAAAGACGATCACGCTCAAGATCGATGGAGAAGTTACTAGTTGTTTACTTACTTCGTACTTTTAGCTGGTCGTCAGAAGATGTGAAGGAAAAAATGCAACTAGGTGTTTGGAACATAACGAATCTGTTCGTTCAGTCACATATAAGATCTGCATATAATGCTGCTGATTAGTGATCATTCCATGCAAATCCTCAGGAATAGAATCGTCAAGAATGCAAGTCCAGTCGTTTTACAACAAACTCACAAAAAAAGCAACTTTAACACCACCGTCACGCCAGAATCAATCTCCTAGCCCTCAACCAATGGAACTAGTCGACAATGTAACTGAAACTGGCGCTGGAAGGCCACCATTATCCGGATCTGAAAATGTCAGGGTGTTGCCAATCTTTGTAGGCCGACCTGATGGACTTTCGCTTTCCATGTGGGCTACAGCAGAAAACTATCCTGATCCAGCTGTGCTATCGGTCCTGACGCAGTTATTTGAACTGAAAACACCCTGGTTCAATGGCTTCCATCAAGGTGCCACGAATTCATACCATTCTCAATTTTTCATTGCCCCATGAGCAAATCGGTCTTTGGCCAAGTAATGAAACAAATCGACTAGATGTGTTGTCGTGCCATCCAAGGCACGGTAGACAATCACGTTGAGATCTTGATTTGCCGT